TGGTTAGATGATTCGTCAGAAATCTTTTGCCAATGCTAGGAAGGCTTGACGGTATATCGTTCGAAATGTATCTAGAACAAACAATAATATATATATATAATTCGTGGATAACGGCTACAGTTCCTCTGAGCCTCTGATTAAATTTTCAATAGTTTGGAAGAGAGGCCTTGCCGTTGTGTGACAGAATCAATGTAAGTGAATAAACTGAATTCAGCACATGTGCTTTGTATTCCTTGTTCTTCTATTGTTCTCGCTACTTTTTGGTAGGCAGTGACAAGACTTTCGGAACACTTTGTATATTAGTCACTGCAGATAGCAGACACGGAAGGAAATCAGGAGGAATTCCCCGAGAGTAGGAGATAAAAGCTGGAAGAAAGGACTGACCATCCGTTGTAGTCGACTTGAAATATAGCACAGGAATTAGAAGGCGTTTCGAATAACGGAAGATTCTGTCAGAGGCAAAAGTCTATATGAAGTAACTGGAATATTTTGGTAAGAACCAAAAAAGAGAGGGGAACTGCTATTTTATATCAATCTTCCAAAATACTAAAAAAAAACACTAAGAGAAATAGTCTTCAGGTGAGCTGTACAGAAACAAAAAATACTAATACAGAAAATAGGGTGAAAAATGTTTATAATAAATATATACCGGATATATATATATATATATATATATATATATATATATATATATATATCGGGTGTGATAGTAAAATTGTCCAAATTGTGTGACAGCAAAATTTCCCGATTGTTTGATTAAAATTTGAACCGTTGTATCTTAGAAATGATTAATGGCATCTTACTGGAATTCTGTGAGGTTTTTATAACACTATTTGACTCTACTTTGAGCAATAAAATGTATAATTACTCTCCAGGCTTAACAGAAGAATCGTGATGAAATCGATCATAAAGGAAAATTACATATTCATCATTATTGCTAAGGATCGGAAGCTCATAGAATATTGAGATGAAATTTATATATATATATATATATATATATATATATATATATATATATATATATATATATATATATATATATTTTCTTTCTGTCCTGGAGTAACAAGGTGTCTCACAAGTTTCACGTACGATTTCATTTTCAAGTCTTTTTTCACTGCTCTTTGAACTGTCATCGCTGAAACTCTTTTCTCATGTGCCAAACGTTATATGGATTGAGTTGGATCTTTTCTAATTGATCGCTTTTAGCTCTAATGATCCCTCTTCCTGTTGGGACCTCCTGATCCCGTTTACCTCTCTACTGTTCCCTCTTTTTTAAGCTTATTCACCGTTCTCTCGACGGTTCTTGAATGGAATTTGAAGATGGAAGCCAGAGTATGAATGTTGGTAACATTACTGAAGGCCTGAATGATCTTTTGCCTCTCACCATTGCTCAGATGGAACGACATAGCGGAGCTGAAAAAAAATGATTTTAACCTGTTCTCTTTCTAGCTGAATAACTCAAAGGACTTTTCAGTGAATCTCAAAATAAATGGTGTCAAGATGGCTAAACGTCTTATCTGAAAACCTGGAAAAGAAACTTAAATAGTTTAGTGTTTTTTTAGATATTAAACATTTTGTGGGAGACACAATTATCGCATGCTCTTACACAATCTGGAATATATATATATATATATATATATATATATATATATATATATATATATATATATATATATATATATATATATATATATATATATATATATATATATATATATATATATATATATATATATATATATATATATATATATATATATATGTAACAGCAATATTGTCCATATATATATATATATATATATATAAATTTAATTCTTCAGCAACCATTTTTTACCACTGCTGGTAAAAAATGGTTGCTGAAGACATTAGCTTTATAATACCCAGAAATTCATGCACAGATGTCCTCAAGGACACCTGGCACAGTGGATAAAGGCGTTGGTTAGATCCAGTGACAGGACCCAAAGAATGTGAGTTCAATAAGGCAGTGAAGAACTTTCAGAGGTGAATTAACAGGAGATATACAAATCAACCATTCGCCCTTCCATGGAGTATTGCTGCCATATATGGTCTGGGGCACTTTCTATTTACCTCGGAGTTCTTGACAAGATCCAGAGATGGATATGTAATATAATTGGCCCTGATCTGGCGTCTCGTCTACAGTCACTCTCTCACAGACGCGCCGTCGCCTCTCTCTGTCTTTTCCACAAATACTTTCATGGTAATTGCTCCGATGAGCTGCTTTCGCTGGTTCCCAGACTCCATGAATTCAAGCGCCCTACGAGGCTGGCATCCCGCTCCCACCCTTACACTTTTAAATGTAGCCGTTTCTTCTACTCCAATAGCTTCATACCTCGCACCTCTTGCCTGTGGAACACCCTTCCCAATTACTGTTTCCCTGAGAGCTATAATCTCCAACTATTCAAATGTAATGTCAATCGACATCTCCAGTTACCTTGATCTATCCACTATCCTTCTCCTCATCCTTTCTTCTATCACTCCTATCTGCTCTCGCTCCAAATCTTCTGCAACCCCCTGCATCCTAGTGGCTTCACGCCTTGCTCGGGGCGTAATGCTTAAAAAAATATAAGATAACTGATAACTGACATCGATTAAACATGGCACGTGGAACTAGAACAGTCTACCCCAGCGAGCGAAATAAAGGGTTCAGTTCGACGTTTCAACCAGTGAAGAAGTGTAATAAATATGGCGACAAATATGAGGACAATAGTCCGAATAATGTAAAATATATATATATATATATATATATATATATATATATATATATATATATATATATATATAAATATATATGATCATCATCTCCAAATACATAAATAAACCCTCTCTCCCGCCGTGTGACTGAAAACCGTATAACTCAGGCCACACTAGCTCTCTCTCTCCTTCTCTCTCTCTCTCTCTCTCTCTCTCTCTCTCTCTCTATATATATATATATATATATATATATATATATATATATATATATATTTTTGGAATCAGGATGATCCTGGTATTGAAAATTTGCCCTTCACCTGCTGCTTGAACATCCATCATTGCGATTTGTGTACGGATGAAGAAGGAAAAGTTATAATTCAAATTTTAGAATGACTGAAAAGAAATAGTAATATTAAAACTTTTAATTAATATAGGGTTTAAAGTAACACTAAAACAATTTTAAAAATGTTTTAAATTCCATTTAAAATATCTCCAAAACTTTGTGAATTGAGGAAATCAGTTTTATTTCTTCAAAATTCCGAGAGTTAAAGTGGGAGGTTTTGTGACGTGAGGCTTTGAAATTCCGCTGAATTTGAGATTTGAAGAACTTAATTTTCGTCCTGAATTGGAATTACGTCCCAAATCGAAGTTTCGGTCCAAATCGGTCTTTCAGCCGGAATTGGACTTATCGCCCAAAACATAGTTAAAGTGAAGTTTTGAAGTTCCTTGGAGTGAATTGAGGAATTCAAAGTTATTTCTTCCAAATTATCATTGATATTTTTAAACTGGACCAGAGGCCCTTTTAGTTTTGGGCTGGAGGCCCAATTAGCAAGCAGGAGCTAGATTATAAGTCCGCACGGAATGCGGTTTTTAAGTTAGTTTTAAATAATAGGTTATGAATTTAACAGTTTTCTTCAAAAAATATATATTCATATATGATAGCTTGCGATAAGAGTATTTCTTTTAGAAAAGGAGATATTTAAGAAAAGCCCTCGGTGCTAATTTATATTTTTGGCCTAAATTGGAATTTCAGCTCAATTCGGTCTTTTGGTCGGAATTGAACTTATAGCATGAATCACAGTTAAAGTGGGGTTTTGAAGTTCCTTGGAGTGAATTGAGGAATTTAAAGTTATTTCTTCCAAATTATCATTGCTGTTTTCTAAACCGGATCAGAGGCCGCTTTTAGTTTGGGGTTGGAGGCTCAATTATTCCCACCTCTCGCAGGAGCTAGATTATAAGGATTGCAGTTTTGAAGTTAGTTTATAATAAATGAAATAAAACCTCCTGCTATTCTCTACCTTTACAAGAGCTAGACTGGGCCAAAAATGGGTAACTGCTAGAATATATGGGAGGATCATCCCACTCTTCAGTTTTAATCTTCACTTTCCAATAACGATAGAGTTCAAAAGTGTCTCTGATTCCTTGTGGGTGACATATTTTATTCCATCCTACAACCACTCACAGACTTAGATGATTTAGACATAGACAACCTTAGAGAAATAATAAATGAAATCTATAACAGTGTTGACATATCGAAAGACCTAAGCAGATCTATTTTGATAGCACTAAATATTTGATGTAAGACCAAAAACGAGCAAATACTCCGAGATGGCTGCAAAATTTAACAGCGTCTCGCACCCAGATTCTCTAGCATGGCAAGACAGCACGTGGCGATGAAATACTCTCTCCCTCTCTCTCAAACACCCTGCCTATCTGGCTTCCTCCTGGAAACAAGGTTACAAATACTCTCTCTCTCTTATAAATAAAGCGAGATAATAAGTCTATGTTGACGTCAGAAAAATATGAATGTTGAGATGCAGCCATAGGTAACGGTATATTTTTAGCTTGTCTATGTCGAAAATCTAAACAAGCTTGACTGTCGTAGGCGAAACCCTTTGGCTAGTTAGTATCGAGTAGAAATTAGCAGATATTTGCAATTCCGTGGGGGTGCGAAGAAACGCGACATAGAAAACACACAACTCTTTGCCGGCAAATAAAACGTATTATCTGTCTATACTGACGACAAAATACGGAAAACACATTCCACGTTATGATGTTAGCTTTATTCTTTATTCAAAATGCGATGTACTGGGGTGGGGGGAGGCATTTGAAGGGTGTAAACTTGGATGTGCAGGTGGTGCATGCTTTATGGCTATATCATATTGACACATTGGTTCCCGTACAGTTACCGAAGTTAAGCAGCATCGAGCCTGGTCAGTACTGGGATGGGTGACCGCTTTGGAATACCAAATGATGTAAACTTGGATGTGCAGGTGGTGTATGCTTTATGGCTATATCATATTGACACATTGGTTCTCGTACAATTACCAAAGTTAAGCACCATCGAGCCTGGTCAGTACTGCGATGGGTGACTGCTTTGGAATACCAAATGATGTAAACTTGGATGGGCAAGTTGCGTAAGGGATAATGGCTCGGAATTTTTAATCGGACATAACATAATGAGCATATAACTCTTTGTCAGCCAATGAAACGCATTATCAAATCTCTTGTATTAGTCAAAGGGCCTATTGAATGATTTCGCTCTGTTTAAAAGCTGTTTAACATAAGTAGTATTCAGTTTTTGTTTCCCGAACGTTGACTTTCCTTGAAGAATCCCAGGGCATCTTTGAATCTTCCGTATGATATGTGTGTTAGGTTGTCTAAACAGTTTTTAGCTTATCATTAGAATGCACTGCGACCATTTACGCTTAGTTTATTTGACACAAAAACCGACTCAGTACGTTTAGTCAAAGCCTGACAGGAGCAGTAAATTCTTCAATCTTTTTTTAATCAAAATCGGCATCGTCTGAATAGAGATATTTATTTACTTTTCTTCTTTTATCGGTTTTAATAATTGGAGTAAGTCACTCTCAATCAAGGAAATGTTGCCTTCAATGTCACAACGGACCATCAGAGGCTCATGGTCAGAAAGTGAACGTTTTAACCACTCTGCCACGCGCATATATATATATATATATATATATATATATATATATATATATATATATATATATATATATATATATATATATATATATATATATATATATATATATGTATATATGTATGTATATATATATATATATATATATATATATATTCATGCACGTTTCATTAAATAATATAGACAAGTGTTGTCTATTTATTTTATGTAACACGCACATATAAGATGCCAGCAGAAGCGAAAATCGCACCGCATCTCATGACGTCACATATGACCACACGAGAGTGAATTGTAGAAGTATGGGAAGTTTATACCAACGGCTTGCAGTACTTCATACTTCTCCAATTCACTCTCGTGTTGTCATGTGTGACGTCATGAGATGTGGTGCGATTTTCGCTTCTAGCGTCTTATATGTGCGTGTTTATCGTTGCTTAGAGATCATCTATGTAAACAATGACAGACTATCATCACTGTCGTGTCCGTATATTGCTTAATATGTTGTAATTGACATCTTTGATAATGGCTTATGTAAGCCGAAAGCTTAGATTGTATTAAAAAAAAATTATGGATCGATATTGTGAATTTCTTTCTTCGTTCAACGATAATGTTATTAAACTTATCAGACGTTACGAAAAAAATTTACATAAAATAAATAGACAACACTTGTCTATATTATTTAATGAAACGTGCATGAATGAAAAGATGCTGCCTAAATACACACAATATATATATATATATATATATATATATATATATATATATATATATATAACACCACTTCCAATAAGTGAGACTGGTTATACACTAACATAATCTAAACAAATCTTTTGTTTGGATAGTGTACAGTTCAGTTCTGTGTTTCTTCTTTGCTATTCCACTTGAGCAACAAGAGAAAGTTAAGGTGACGGAGATAGGTACAGAATTAAAAACTGACCTAAAAGACAACCTTACGTCGAAAACGACGGAAGAGTCCATCATATATAACACAGAATAAGGTTACTTTTTGAAAGAAGTTCCGTTGCTTTGGGCACCTTATACGACAAGGCGTCTTCTCCAGCGATATTCTGCAGGGTCCAATAGAGGGTAAGCTTCGTCAAGATTGACCAACTCTCTCTCTAATATGAGATCTAAGAGCAGCATCAGTCAGATAAAGGTGGAGCCGAGTGACGACAACTGTGGCACAAAATACGCTAACTGAATAAATCATGTTCGTACCTCACACCTTGCATTATCTCCCTTGGTAACTGACATATGTTCAGATATCTCAAAGTTAATATTTCTTCCTTCGGCCTTTGCTTTACAACCTTATCAAGATCGAGAATTTCATATGAATATCATGCATGGTGCTAAATCCATTCAGTAATTGTTAAAAATATCTTTGAGCGAGAGAAACTTTGGGAAGAACATACTTCTTCGAAACCAGTACAGAATGGCGCTCCGAGGAACTGTACCGATTAACAGAAACCATATATCTTGAGTACTTTCAACAGAAGCAACAACTAAAATGGATTTCACATATAATTCGAAGAGAAAGTAATGAGATAATCAAGATGTTGACTTTCCACACTACTTCAAACATAAGCTTAGGAAGGAAACCGCCATCAATACTGGAAAGAGCGATAACAGCTACTGCTCTTGAGAAACACATCTTCCGGGGTAAAAAAAAAAAAAAAAAAAAAAACTGTTCTCAGAGGTATTATAAATTTCAATCGACAGCAGTATTAGACGTCCTGGGTAAGACGTTAAACTACATCCGCGTCCTGGATAAGACGATAAACTACATCCGCATCCTGGATAAGACGATAAACTACATCCACGTACTGAGTAAAACGATAAACTACGTCCAACAGCAAGGCCTCTGATCAGGAGGTTTTGAGGAGTATGGAACCACCTCTTAATTGCTGGTGTTCCCAGGTCCACCCTGACCCGGGTGGTAGCACCTGTTAGGGCCCTAGCTATGGGCAAATAGTTAACTATTATCAGCAATACTTTTTGAAAAAAATTATTTACAGCAATACAATTTTTGAGGAAAAATATTACAAGAAACAAATTATCGACAAAACAAAATATTACCCGCAATAAAAAAAAATTGTCGACATTAAATAACCCATTGAGATTGATATGCCGTAAAACAAAATAAACCAAACCAAACCAAACACCAGTATTAGCTTCTCGGCCAATGAATATCGAATGTTTTCTTTTTAATGAAACGGTTTGTATTATCATTAAACTGACTTAACTATTTGAGCCTTGCGTGCCTGAACAATTTTAACCCTTTTTCCTCAGGAATGTCTGACGCTCAACTTCTCGAGAGCAACTCTCTGCGGCTTCTCGGTCTCACGTTGACTGCTGACCTGAGACGGAATAAATACATCGAGTCAATTGCCTCGTCCACTGCGAGGAAAGTTGGCTCCCTGAGCCGCGCTAGGAAGTTTTTCTCCCCTGAGTCGATCCTCCAGATATACAAATCCACAATTCGCCCTTGCATGGAGTATTGCTGCCATATATGGTCTGCCGCACCTTCTGTTTGCCTCGGGGTTCTTGATAGGCTCCAGAGGCGGATATGCAATATGGTTGGCCCTGCCCTGGCGTCTCCTCTACAGTCACTTTCTGTCAGACGCGCCGTCGCCTCCCTCTGTCTGTTCTACAAATACTTTCATGGAAATTGCTCAGAGGAGCTGCATTCGCTGGTTCCCATACTTCACGAGTTCAAGCGCCCTACGAGGCTGGCATCCCGCTCTCACCCCTTCACTGTCGAAACTCCTAAATGTAGCCGTCTCTTCTACTCTAATTGCTTCATGTCTCGCACCTCTCGCCTGTGGAACTTCCTTTCCTTCTCCTGTTTCCCTGTGAGCTATAATCTCCAGCTATTCAAATGTAATGTCAATCGACATCTCCAGTTGCCTTAATCTATCCACTACCCTCATCCTTCCTTCTATCATTCCTATCTGATCTTGCTATTTCCTGTAACCCCTTGCATCCTAGTGGCTTCCCGCCTTGCTTGGGGTGAAACGCTTAAAAAAAAAACAAAAAAAAACTGATTCGCAAATAATTAGTAGGTAATGTTTCACGGTAGATATAGAAATAGTTACAACCAACGTTCAACCGGTGGCTGAGCATTGTCATTTTTCTCTACCACAGTTTAACCGGTGGTTGGGCATTACGTCATTTTTCTCTACCATCGGTAAAGTGGTGGTCAGGGCTCAAAGCTTTAAGGCTAACTATTGACAAGTCCATAATAAATGCGAATATAAGTGTGTTACTATGTCACACTTTTCCAACTTTTATCGTAGTGGTCGTAGCTCAATATATATCATTTTTGGAATCAGGTCGACTCCGTGAGCAAATTAAAAACAATCCCTGCCAGATCCAGGCACGGAATCCTGAAATTTTGGATTCCCAAGTTTTCATTACTGTGATGGTTTTTGGTGATTTTTTGTACGATAAAATTTTTTTATAACTTTGAAATAAAGTTGGGAATAATCGAAATAATTTGCGAAATCCAGCTAAAGTTACCTATGAAACAAAAATAATTATTTCTACGGAAAGTAACGACCTAAGTACATCAAATTGTCTTTAAATTAAGTGGCAGCAGAAGAATTATCGTTGAACTTGTAAGAGGTATGCTTAAATATTTATACATTATGAAATGGACAAAGTCCGACAATTATTTAAAGACATTTTTTTTTATGTTTAACATTCTTTTTATAGATACAAGTATTTAAGTAAATGCTCTGTTTATAATAAACAGTATTAAATAACATTTACCGGCCTGAATGTCCGAGAAATCTTCATAGAAAATATTCGTCCTTTGACAGGATTCGAACCTGCATCCTATACGGAACCGTCATTTAGCTTGACGCGCCTAACCGCTCGGCCAGAAAGGATCGTTCGACGGACATTTACTGCTTATAAACTTCAATCTTTCATGAATCTCTCACTTACATTCATAACTGCTCATGGCGTATCAAATGTAAACAAATGACGTCATACATTATGAAATGGACAAAGTCCGACAATTATTTAAAGATATTTTTTTTTATGTTTAACATTCTTTTTATAGATACAAGTATTTTAGTAAATGCTCTGTTTATAATAATGTCTTTAAATAATTAAATATATGCAATACTTAAATACACCGATCAATTTTGAGTTCTTCTGTAGTTTATTGTTGCCTATCGCATACGGCAATAGCAAAAAAGAAATCTCCGTCAACAGCGGATCAGATTGCAATCAAAAGAGCCGAGCCTGCGGCGAGGAAAAAAAGTCCCTTGAAAATGAAAACCAGATCAAATGGCACCAAGAGAGCTTCCAATGCTGAGACAATTCAATGACAGTGATTCTCAAGCTCCTGAACAAGCCGAACACCTCATCAAGAGCCCGATCGGGTGTTTTTAAGCTAGTAATAAATATGTTATAAAAGTTAAGGAGAAACAATAAGAGACATATTTTC